GGAGATATAGGGTATCGGTGGCATATTTTCTTAAATAAAATAGTACGCCACTGTTTTACGGTAACAATTATGGTATTTTCGGATTCGTCTTTCACTTTTTTACAATTTTTATGTTTTTCTAAAAAAAACCTGATTTTCATGTAGCAACTTTGACATTCTGAGCACTTAGAAGAAAGAATAAATAATGTTTTTCATCAAATTCAAGCAACAATAAATTTCGAACAAATTACATTTTCGTTATAAAAAGATGTCGCGCCTGTGTTCGTGCAAATGGAGGTATTTCTGAGCATTTACTCAAAATAAAATTATTAAAATGACGACTAATGTTATTAATTTCTTTATTCGAATAAATAACCGAATGATTAGTGTTTGTCATGTCATTTAAGTAAAAGTTTGACTTGTCAGTGCTGCGAGAAACAACTACTCCGAGAGCTGTTTACCCCTACCGGCATTGAATTATAAAAATTATAAAAGTGTTTTCAGTTGGTTTTTAAGTGAGTAAGAGTAGTAGTTTGTAGAAAATTGAAAGACGAATCCGAAAATATCATAGTTGTTACTGTAAAGCATTGACGTACTATTTTATTTTTATTTTTATATGCCAGCGATACCCTGTATCTCCGCCACTGGAGAATGTAAATTTTAAGAAAAGCCCCGAGATTTTGGACAATGTTTACATAAATACATGTGCCCAATTTCAAATTATTTTACTTACTATGTAGTTTTTAAATTATTTAAAAAAATTAATAATATTTTTAACACCCTGTATCTTTTTAACGAAGCGTCCTAAATAACAACTTTATAGGAAAGACTCCCCTTATAATTCACCAAAGAATACGAGGTTTCATTTTTGATCGCCATTTATGAATCACCCTGTATTTAGAGGCATTTTTCACATATTTCGAAAATCCAAACAGCTTGAAGAAACTATGTTCATCTTCTATTTAACCATTTTTCTATATCATACAATGTCCAAGCTCCCAATATATATTTAAATAATCATACTGTGAGCAACAACTACTCTGCAGACTAAAGTCTAGTACATGCACGACCAAGTGTCCACCCGTTAAGAAACTGTATATAAATTTGAATCAAGAAACTCTCCTTAATTTTTAACACTGTGTCGTTTTACATCCTGTACCTCTATTTTATGGATCGTGCCACTTTCTTCGACTTTTCAGCGCGTTCTCCAGTGCTAGGGGCGAAGCCGGTGAAAGACTCGGTGGCCCGTGCCGCGGCGTGTGTTATTATACGCAGTGCTTTAGAAGTAATTTTCAGGCTGCTGCACATACCGTCGTTATAGTTTAATCACTTTAACTGTTATTATACATAATTAAAATTATTTCGCGAGAGAGTAAATTGCGCCATACCGTTCGCTTTCTTGCCATGAATAATAGATGCTCAGTTCGGGCAGAGCTGGCGATGTTGCGAGATAACAATTTAATCAATCCCCCTGTTATAATAAACTACTGTAAATAATAAGGCTTAACAGGCTGAAACCGTGTTTGTGTATTGTGATGTAACGGAACGACATTTTCATCTTTCTTCCTTGTAGCGAAACCTTTCTATTGATCTAGTTGTGGAGACAGTCATATATTTCACATTTACAAGCATATACAGGGTGTCTCTACCTACTTGCCTTATTCCAAAAATTGATAATAACGGAGCTACAGGGACAGGGTGTCAAAATTAAAAATATAAGTAACATTTTCTTTAATATCTATCGACTACTTCGAGCTAATTTCGTGAAATTTCGTATCCGGGGGTTTTTGGGATGAAGCATTCGAATTTATCGACAATTTTGTTGTATCTTCTAGAGAGCGCCACAAGCGACCATTTAGGATGCATTTAAACTGCCAAAACTTTTTGTTCCACGGTGTATTTCACTTTGGGCTGGAAAAGTTTTTTTCCCGCAACTTAAAACTTAAAAAAGATATACCTTGCTAATATCTCTAAAACCAATCGTTTTCAACAAAACAGCATTTAAATTTGTAAATGCATAACTTTGTTTAAAAGTTATTTTCAACTCCACTGATAAACGAAATCAGGAGCAATAGTTAGCAAGAAATATTCCTTTATTCCTTTAAAGAAACAGTGCAATTACAATTTTAAATTTCGTTTATTTAACAATTTTACTGCAAACAGAATTGACAGAGTAAAAATCCTACTTTCTTAAAATAATTTAATTAATCCAACACAATCTAAACAATGTAACCAATCTAAACGATCTAAAAATCAGAAAAATAACTAATTATTATTGACCTGTCTTAAAACAGGTTCAAAATGTCCACCACCTACATGCATGCAGAGATCTGTTCTGTGCAAAAAATTTAACTGTACCCTTTGTATCCTGTGGATTATTTCTAATGACATGCAGGATATCTATTGAAAAACATATCAGCATGTGATTTTTGATTAGTGAAAACTGTTTTCATAAAAATAACCACAGTTGGCAAAATAAGCAATAAGTAAAGAAAAAAATTCTGTTTGTGTTAATTAGTTGATTATAATAAAGAATATATCTGCAAATTTTTCGAGGTCTCTTGGTCAGCAACCCTTAGTGTTATTTTTTATATTGCAAATTTCTTCTGAAACTTTTTCGTCACAAAAATTCTTTATAGAAACCGCCTCTTAAAAAAACAGCACATGTCCTACATTTGCAAAATATGACCAGTTTAATTTTCACCAATGCTGCATAAATTTATAGTCCAGTCACTGAAGGCAAAAATAAGGTAAAAGCTCTCAATTTTTTCGGATAGCATGGATTTTCCTGAAAATTTGCATACAAGCTCATCTGACCCCCCACTTCAAAAGTTATATTGTCTAGATGTGTGCTTTTTTCTGTTTGGGGGTGAAAACTACCCTTGTACGAAACAATGCGAAAATCGCAGATTTACGTATTTTAAAGATTCAATTCATGCTCAAATATATTGGATAAAGTTCCTTTCATGTTTTTAATATAATTTATGAAATTTAATTACTTTTCAACCCTTAAAAATCCTTAAAAACTATCCTTCTATGACCAAATTAAAAATAGAAAAAAACGTTTTTAACAGTTTAAAATATTCTTTTGGTGCATTCACAATGTATTGCATTTCTTTTGTTATTCATTAGAAAGTTTACGACTCATTACAAAATTGCAACCCTTAAAAACCATCCCTTATAATAAAATAAACAAAAAAATATTATTGAAAGCTTGAGATGTTTTAATGGTATGCATATATTGAATTATAAACTTTTTATTGGTTTTCAAATGATCTATGATATATTGCAACTTGTCGAACACCCAAAAAAACCCTTATGGAAGACCTACCCCTCATAAAAAACCCTCTCGCTTACAGAAAAATTTCCTAAAAATTATATGGGAGTATGATGGTATAATTATTTTTTTTTAATTTCCGAATGTACACATACATATACATGTGACCTCGGATACGTGTGTATGTATACTATTAAAATACTTATAAATCAGTTCACAAGTGCTCCAAAATACACAAAGATGATGGTAATTTACCCGCTCCGAAAATTTTACCGAAAAAATGTAATGTAATTTACTCAAAAAACCATTTTGTAGGGAATTTAAAGCACTTTAAGTTCTGTGATTTGCAGTTTTTTTATCCCCTCGCGTTTTAGATTTGTAAGCTAAAAGGGCTGAGGAACGAAAGTCTTGGAGCTTAGTTTTGAGCTTCTAACGGTCATAACCCAGTCTGTCCTACAAAAATTTAAAAAAAAAAAGTAAATTTTTCAGTAAGAAAAACCTACAATTTCTTATTATATCATTTTTTTAAAACCTGTTGGGTTTTAAAATATTTTTAAAAAGGCGATTTTTACAAAAATTGTAAAATTTTATTCAAAAGTAAATGAAATATTTTTTTGAATTTAGGCTTCTAAAATCGTTCAAATCCCAGAATCTACTGTTAATATATAAAAGTAAATTGTAGAAGGAATACGTTTAATTTTTTTTCCGTCGTCATTAATTTTAATACCGATTTTTTTTCTCAAAAATCAAGACAATAATTTTATTTTGATTGTAACTTCATTAGTTTTCATGCTAACGACTTTTACCACAACTCAATTTAGAGGTCTTTTAAAGAAGTTTAATAAGTGTTATATAAGTTTTCCTCGAAAAACTTTTAATTTCTCCGCTACAGGACGTTGAACGTTTTGATTTCACGTCAATCCATTCCATCCGATAAAATTGGTAGCCAAAATGCTTCAGTGTCTGGACTATTAGTCACAGTAACACATGGTGAAGGTGGGTACCTTTAGCAATAACATATTGATTTCTCTCCGATAATCAGTGTTTATTGTTGTGATAAGTAACAAAACAAATTTACAATCACAATGATAAAACTTATTCGAGGCAAATTTGTCGCGTCTACAAATGCCCGATAAGAACCATGTATATTATCAAGTATGCAACGATATAATAGCAGCACAAACGTTGCATAAATATACTTTGTTCCTTTAAAACTCCTCACCCTATTAGTCTAATATCCTGAAAACTAAGCATAAGAGAGATATGTTACTATCACAGAAAATGAAACTTAATATATCTAATTTTATCTGAAAATCCAGGTGCATCCAATCACCAACTTCGCCCACCCCACTTTTTGGGATTTGTATACGCTACTGGTTACTTGCTCATTGCACCTTTGATTTTATTACCTCATCCATCTATGGCAGTGAAAATAAAGTTGTTCAACTTTAATCACCAGTACAAGTCTTCTATAACAGATGGCATAATTCATAATCGATTGTGCAAAATTTTACACAGTTTTGAACTGGTTCGATTGGTAAATATCTTTCCTTATTTCACCCCATAAGATACACCCCACAATCCCCACATAAAACTTAAAAACCCAATGAAACAATTCAATTCTTAGTGTTCGGCGTATTTTGTTACCAGAGACATCTGTTAATGATAGTCAGCATTATTAATGCTTAAGAACTACGACCAATTTGAAAGAGATCTCTACAGTAACCTTCCTCTTTGTTTTCAGACGTTTCGCGATCAGCGCATAGATGGCGCGGGCTTGCCGCTGTTGACGGAGGAACACCTGACCACCACAATGAATATGAAACTGGGACCGGCGCTAAAGCTGCGCTCCGTCCTCGCCAAGAAATTGGGATCGTGCAACGTCTGCTTGCACTGCACGCACTGCCACAATTCCTCCGGGTCACCGGAACCGTCCAACACCACCGGAAACATGTCCGACTCGGGTGGCACCTCCTGAAACCGGAGGAGATTGGTCTCAGAACTGGGTCTCAATTTTAGGTTGCAATATTTATTGTTTATTGAATGAACGCAATATTTAGTATTTTTTTATATGGTTATAAATGTGTAGAAAGTAAGTGAGATCGATTTCAGCGATGTTTTAGAAGGAGTTCTACTTGAGGGAAAAATATTTGTACGAGTTTAATAACGGTGGGCTACTTAAATCGAAATTGTATTCAGACTGCACAAATATTTTGTAACAGTGTAAATCTTTCATTTTTTTAAGCTGTTGTAAGATATGTACAAGTGGATTTGTATAGTTCCTAAATGATAAAAGTGTTTAAATATAGAATAAACTACACTGCTTAAAACCCCATGCCCTTGAGGAAGATGTTTTGATTTTTTCAGCACTGGGTGTTTTAAGCAAACTTATGCAACGAAACATATTAATTGCTCAATTTTATATTACTACAACTTGTTCAATTGTATATTTTTATATCTCAAAGTGAGTGATGACCTTCCTTCATATTAATAGCGTAGAAATTCGTTAAATATCAAATATACTGTTGTCTTCTCTACAAGAGGCAGTGGTGTGAGAAGTTAGTATTTTGTACGATTATCTCCTGTATATAAAGCGAAATAAACACGTATTTTAGGAATACTTTAAGAGTACAATGTACGACATACTAAGAAATATATATTTTTTAAAAGATTTTGTACAGTATTTAATTTTTGTTATTGTATTCGTTTCATAATTTCTTGTACCTTGCATTTTATTCAGACAGAATAAAAGTATTTATCGAAAAGCAATATGTTATTACTACCAATAATTTAGCAATAAAGTCTGTTTGAACATGTATTTTCTCCCTTATTGACACAAGACGGTGACCAATGAAGAATATCGAAACTTTGGGTAAGAAAAAATGTAATTGACGGCGTATTGTCCTCTTTTTTGTGACGCCTTCAGGGCAATTATAAATTTAAAAAATCCTACTTGATGAACTAAATTCAAAATGCTCCTTAAGGAGGTAAGTATATCGAGTTTATTCAAATGCACAGATGTACTTGAAATTTATATAGCGTATTACCCAGTGCTCACTCTGTGTTTATTTATTTTTTTTTTGAAATTTTTTTTGAATCTAGATTTTGAGATATTGTTGTTGAAAGTTGTTCATTTTAACATAGGTTTATATGGCTAAGATGGACGGTGCGGCTCTTTTTTTGTGAAACAAAACTTTTCCATGGATAGTAGTATCTAATTTTTGATGTAAAACTAATGTAAGTTTTGAACATAGTACAGCTGTATTAATTAGAAACAGAAACCAATAATTGCATTTCTGTCTGACTTGAGGATTAATGCGGCAACGTCGCAATCAGCTGACAGCAAGGGGGGACTACATTTGAAAGACTTGATAAAAACGAAATTGATTTCAAACATATACAATTTTCCTAAATCCCATGAACATTGTTATCAACAATAAATTATCCACAACAGATGATTTTTTGTAATGTTTTTAAAAAACTAGATTAATTAAAAAAATCTAGGAAGCTGTGATATATTTATTGGAATAAAAAATAAAGTTGATAAATCCTTTTAATATATTTAATGGTTTATAAAAACATCGTAATCATTACCCAGAAATATTTAAGGTTACATAAAGTTTTCTTTGCTTGATTAATATAATTAGTAATACTTGAGATAAAAGCATTTGTACGGAATAACAAAGGAACATAAATATTTCTCAGCAAACTTTATATCTACAAAATTAGTTATAGTTGCAACACTTTTGTAACATTACTAAAATAGAAATTAAAAACACGAACAGTGAGTAATAATGTAATTTCTATCACAGAACCTTCAAAATTGCATCCAACATTTTCTTTGACTTGGACGAGAGATGGGCGTGAGTGTCATTTCATTTCTTTAAAACTAAATTAACATAATTCTCGTTGTTTTACCAGTTCACATGATTTACGGATTTTAAATAAAGGATACAAATCTTCGCNTTTAGGATGTGGAATAATTTAGGCAACGGTCGGAATTATGTTTCTGCGCATGTGAAGGTCAAAAAGATTTTGAAACAACTCTACTCCTGTTAGTTAAAACACTATTATTGGTTTTCAAGGCGACCGTCTTTTTAATTTTATTATCAAGGGTGTAAAATAACCCACTCGCATATTTTATTACATCAAATATATTTTCTTTCATATCATTTCTTACTGTGTACCAAAACTGTTGCCCAATGCGCCTATAAGATAATCTTCTGGTCTTGTTTATCCCAGAAACTGACGGCAGAATGGGAAAAACCTAATATTAGAACTGTTTATTGAATTTCCACGTTTGATACGCGGCATATCAATAACCTCCGTTTCTGGACATTCCCAGTGGATACGCGTCCCGCAGGGACATTATATGTGTGTGCGATTGCCTTTCACGTCCCCGGCTTTGCGAATTCGATAAAATCTGAGAAGGAATGGCGAACACTCGAGATAATCTGCATGTCAAGAAAACTGCTGCGTGGTCTGGGGTTAACCAGAATCGGATGAGTGACCGACAGGAAGAAGGAAAGCTTCGCCGTGGATTTTCTTTACTACGCCTTTATGTCGGGCGAATGTGAAATGTTTCTTACAAAGTGTTGGGATTATAGTATTCATTGTCGGATTTTCTAGGTGCATTTTACTTGTACGGCACGTTTTCAGGCTATTTATTTACTGCTATGTGTTATGTTGCTGTGTAGATCTGGACGGTGTAAAAATACAGCGGATCAAAATGTTATAGTTTCCTAGTTACTAGCGTTTATGTTCTCCAATAAGTTCTTTCTTGAATTTTATATTTAATTTATTTAATAATTTAATACATAGTTCGTACTACGAGGAAAAGAACTCTCCTCAATCTGTCACGAAAAACCGATTTTAGAAATAAATTAAGTAGATTTTTTTTCAGGCTATTCCTTGACAATTTTTTTAACCAAACAATTTCATGAGCTATAGTTGTAACAAAAAAAAGATTTCAAGAATTAAATCTAGAAATGATGAAAAATTTCAACATTTGAGATATAGCTCTAAGAATTTAATTTTGTTTTATCTACATATACAGGGTGTTTCGAGATATTCAGTTGTTTTAAAAAAAATCAAGACTTCAGCTCTCTAAATGAGGTTAGATAGCGTCCCGTAAGAGTTGTAAACGTGCAGTTTTTACAATTCGTTTTGGCATAAATTACTATATCTTGTCATCTGTGAGCAAAACGTGTACGTTATTCGAACTCGGAAATACTGAGAGCTACTAATTTTACAAGTTGAAAAACTTTTGTTTCAAATGGAATGACCCATAATAATTGTCATGGGTGACTAAATTAAATAAGAAAAAAATTGAAGGTTCATAACTTTAAACGATGCAAAACTGTACTAAGGCACTTAACTTATTTAAAGTGCGATGGTTTTTCGGGTTATTATGCCGTGGCGTATGTACCTAGCTTCCACTTACATTGAGCTTTCGTAATCTTACCTAGGAATCCTTGACCTGCCTTTGTTGTTCTCGGGCTAGGATCTATGAGGGAGGACCAGCTATTAGAACCCTTAAGTCCGCCCTGACGTTGGTTTAGGTTCTTTTGTTGGTCGTAAGGCTGCATCCAATACTTCCAAACGTTTCGTCGTTCACTGCCGACATCTTCAGTAGTGAAGTTTCATCGCGATTGAGGCTTCAGTGTTGGGGTTAAGGCTACAAAAGCCTTAACACCATCCCCATCGGTTTATTTTCACCCTAGAAAACTACCTTTGAAGTGTATCCCATTCACTTCCGGAAACCCAGTATAATGAAGGTCTTTTAAAAGATTTGTGAAATGTTTTTAGTATTTTCTTTGATGTGTGTTACTAGTAGCAGTTTAACTGCATTTCGGATACATTATACGTATAAAGGTAATCCATCAAAACATGCAAAGTATAAAGAATAAACTTGAGATATTAGATGTGTTTCTATCATTTGAATGTCCGGAAGTCATGTGTATAACTGAAAGTTGGATTAAGGGAGGTGAAATTGGATATATTAAAATTCCAAGTTGCAATATTGCTAGTTACTATTGTAGAAAAAATTGTCAACATGGAGGTGGAGGTGTGCTTTTATTAGTTAAAAAACACTTAAATGCCTGTGAAATAAAACAGATTGTAAAGTTAAGTATAGATAAAGTTTATGAATGTTCCGCCATAACAGTTTCCATTGAAAAATTTAATATTTGTTTTTTATGTATATATAGATCACCAAAAGCTGATATCAACGTTTTTTTGATAAATTTGAATTTAGTTTAAATATGATTACTAATATTAATACTGTTAATAGAATAATTGTGTGTGGAGATATAAATATTGATTATATGGTTGAAAATAATGAAACTGTGAAATTAAATGATATATTTAACTCATATAATGTTAAATCAGTTTTTAATGAACCCACTCGTATATGTAAAGACTCTGCTACTGCCTTAGATTATATAGCAACAAACTTCAATGAAAATATATATTTGGCAAGTGTTCTTCATATTGGTATTTCGGATCATTCGGCCCAGCTAATAGGTTTTGATATTCCAGCCAAAATTAAAAATGAAAAAATTAGGTTCAGATATTTTTCTAGAAATAATATTCTAAAGTTTGAACAATTATTAAAAGTTGAAACTTGGCAAACCATTTATGAATGCCAGACTGTTAATAAAAAGTTTGAGGTTTTTATTAAGATATTTGGAGACTATTATAACACATGTTTTCCGTACGTTTCAAAAGATATGAGTTCCAATAAAAATGAGTGGCTGACAAGAGGTCTAAAAGTATCATCTAGTAAATTGAAAGATTTATTTCAAATGCATCGAAATAATTTGGTTAGTAGTGAATATTATAACAATTATAAAAGAATTTATCGTCAACTTCTTAGAAAAGCAAAGAGTCTACATTTTGACAATATTATTAATAGTTCAGAAAACAAATCGAAAACTGTGTGGAAAATAATAAATAATAACTTAAAAAATAAAACTAAAATTGTGTGTAATCAAATTTTAATAAATAATAATGTAGTCACGAATAGGTCTGAAATAGCTAATTATTTTAACTCATTTTTTGTAAACCTACCAAAAACAATTGTGACAACACAAAAAAATAATGTAATTAGTAGTTTCAATATATCAATGGTAACTAAAACAATTTTTTTGAAAAAAGTTACCGCAACTGAATTAATAGATGTTATTAATAACTTAAAAAACAGTAATTCGACTGGACACGATAATGTTTCAGTAAAAATAGTAAAAATGAGTGCGCATCTAATTAGTAACGTTTTATGTGAAATTATTGATGAATGTTTTAAAAATGGTAATTTTCCAGATATATTAAAGATTTCAAAAGTAATATGCCTATATAAAAAAGATGATCCTAAGCAAATGTCAAATTATAGACCTATTTCGTTATTGTCTATATTTTCTAAAATTATTGAAAAATTTCTTTTCTTTTTCTCTCCAAATCAACATGGTTTTAAGAAAAATCATTCAACAACAACTGCCTTATTAAGTGTGCTGAATTATGTTTATAATCAGTTGGATAAAGGACAAAAAATAATTGCGTTATTCATAGACCTTTCAAAGGCGTTCGATTGTGTGAGTCACGAATTGCTTTTAACTAAACTAACTTATTATGGTTTACGAGGAAAATGTAATGATTTGCTAAGGTCATATCTTAGCATGAGAAAACAATATGTAGATTTTTATGATGAAAAATCTGATCAACTTGAAATTGATATAGGAGTACCACAAGGGAGCGTTTTGGGTCCCTTGCTTTTTTTGTTGTATATTAATGACATAGGAAGATCATTAAATATTTTCCACTGTGCCTTTGCTGACGATATTACAATTGTATCAAGTGCTGAATGCTTGACGGATACTATAAGTAAGTTAAACTCTAATATATCATCTGTTTTGCATTATTTTGAGAAAAATAATTTGGTTATAAATGCTGATAAAACCTATTTTATGCAGTTTTATACAGTTGAACGTGATTATATATCTAGTCCACTCTTAAAAATTAAAAATCCATCTGTCAAACAGGTAACTCAATTTAAACTGTTAGGTGTACCTATTGATCACGCTCTAAATTGGCGAGCTCGTGTAAATAAGGTTTGCGGTAAATGTGCATCTAGTTGTTATGCATTAAATTGCTTACGTCAAATATCTGGTATTAATACTGTTAAAACTTTCTATTTTTCAAATTTTGAAAGTCACCTCAGATATGGTCTAGTTTTTTGAGGAAATTCTTCTCTTGCAAGTAGAGTTTTCACTCTCCAAAAAAGGGCTATTCGTTTTACTTTTAGACTAAAATATAGAGAGTCTTGTAAACCAGCATTTATAAAGGAAAACATATTAACGCTACCATGTCTTTATATTTTCGAAATTTTAATGTTTGTTAAAAGAAATTTGTCTGAATTTGTTTTTCAAAATTTTCATCATGAACATCCTACACGACATGGGTTTAATTTGAGACACCCAGTGCATAGGCTGGAATTATATAAATCGAATCCTTGACTTGATATCTCTATAAAAAATATCGTTGGTTTTGGTGCTTTTTCTAAGGCAGTAAAGGGGTTCTTAATTAAACAGGTTTTTTATTCTATTGATGAATATTTGAACTGTGATTAACGTGTTTTGTTTGTTTTTTTTTATCTGTGTAAAATTTATATGTTCTTTTTAACGTGACCTGTATCAGTAACATGTTTTGTTTGTTTTTTTCATTTTATCTGTGTAAATTTTCCTTTTTGACATGTCCTATATCATTTTATATGATCTTTTGGATTAATAAATGCTTACTTACTTACTTACTTACTTACTTACTTACTTACTTACTTACTTACTTACTTACTTACTTACTTACTTACTTACTTACTTACTTACTTACTTACTTACTTACTTACTTACTTACATTTGAATCATCAAAACTTTTCTAATGCTAAGAATATTTGAAGCGTTTTTATAATTTTAATAATTTTTATAATTCGGATAGCCTAACATGATTGTATAAAGCATAAGGTTTTTCTGCCAAATATTTAAACAATTTGAACCTAATTTTAAGAATACTGGAATATTATTTCACCTAAAGGTTGTAGAAAATAGTATCATCTATCCATATATCAGTTAAACACTATTTGATTTGAAATCGACATTTAGGGTTGTTATAAAGAACTCCTCACTGTCGAATAGGATACCTACATAGTGTCCCAAATGAAAATTTGCCAAAGTTTGTATGAGACACAACTGCATATATTTCTTATTCAAATCTGCACCAACAATATTTAAAAAAATTGATTTATTTACAAAAATGTACGCTGACAAAACCACAGATGCCCATATTTAATCAATTTTGCACGTTAGAATCCAATGTCATCACTTTTTGGAAGGCCCATGAAGAAATACCATAGTTTAGTATTCTCCTTGTTTCCAAGTTTTCTATTAAGCTCGGATTTCTAAGAAGACAAATATCCAAGGCTATTCCACTACCTCATTATAGTGGCAGCTCATAATACAAAACCACTCAATAAATCCGTAGCTGTCACTGCTCCAGATCGAATGATACGGAACAGAATAGGGCATTGTTCACTGAAAGACATTGTTTGAAAATTTCTCATAACGTTTTATCCGACTTAATATGTTTCTACCGCAATTTTTTGTCGCGACGCCGTTTATTGAGTTTTTCATGGGAGTAGCAAATGCTAGACTCGATTTATGCACGTCTAGAGGGTGTCCGTTGATGTATATATAAGAACAATAAAAAAGTTCCTTACCAAAATATATTAGGTACTGCATATTAGTGCTACGCTTCCAGAAAATATTACATAGTAGTGATATACAGGGTGATTCAGTCATAATGACATTAGTTTTAACGCCCGACTTCGCAACAGGGAACGCGCTGGCGGACTATAGGGCATTCGAATGTTGAAGCGAAACAGCCGATTTTCCCAGTCGTTTTGGTTTGCATTTGGTTTTTATTTAACCGTACGTCATTTTAAATTGGTAGGTATCACACTACACTTTGAAAATCAATAAGTCACACAATAATGTATACGTACTACAAAGTGAATATTGAACATAATACTAAAAACTCACATACAACTATAAAAAAATGAAAACTGTTTATTCGTTGTCGTTCACTACGGATTAAAAACGCATTAAAAGCTATGTTAATGACCGGAGCAGTCTGAAAAGAGGTTTAAATAATGATTTGAAAATATGCATTTTACTTTCTCTTTTAATCGCGTTCCTTATATTATCTTAAAATTAATCACATTATATAATCACCCTATATAAGGCGAGATAATTCCTTTATTGTCTGTGTTCTAAAAGAAATAAAACAATAGCAATAAATGTAACTTATTTATTATTATACTATTCTAACTACACTATAGATGAAAACCAAGGCCTTGTGATCCAAAGGAAGACAGAATTACAAAAATAAATACGAATTTGTAGCGAATTCTCAGCATTCGATAATACTAGGATATGCTCTTCAGAAACAAACATACAATGAAAAATATTTGCCATTCAACATTTATTTCTATATATTACATAGTAGTTCAGGGTCAAACGAATCAAAGAATATGCAATTTCTTGTGTAATTTTATTCTAAGGGTCGAAACTGCTGTGAATTTTGTTGGTACCGTTTAAAACTTAATGTTCGCACTATTTGGGCTCATCGGTGACGTGGATTTGTTTGTTAAAACCGAGAAAAGATAAGTCAACCCCTCTAATAAAATTATATCGCCTTTCGAAAGCCATTTACTTCTTAAAGCAACTGACGGGGTTGAAGTAACAGAGGCGGTAACGGCTCTGGCGCTTGATTTCGTTGCCGCTTCTGAGGGATCTCTCCAAGCCGTATTCTCCGTTGCCCAGCTGGTTCAGTTCGGCTAGTTTCTGCGCCAGCATCTCCATCTGCCACTGCTTGTACCCGGAGTCTATCATGTTGGATTCCTGGTCGGGAAGAAGCTGCAAAAAACGGTACCAGTAACAGACAAATAATCGGCAACTAGTTTAAAATTTTTTGGTGGGACATAGATTAACAATAAATTAAAAGACACACACAATTTTTCATTCATAATATCGTCTGCCAAGCCTACAATTTTAAACATTCAAAAGCTAATAACGAGATACTCTTGCTAATACCTGTACTAAATATACAGGGTGATTCATTAACAATGGGAAAGTCGAAAGCTGAAGATACTACACGTGAAATGGTGATCATTGGCGCAAACATGCCTGATCCGAATATTGATAGTTTCGGAAATACAGGGTGGTAAAAAGTTATTAACTAAATTTTCGGTAAAATTGGTCGTAAGTGGCGCCCTCTATGAGCAACGCTGAAATTGCAACATCTTATTCGTCGCTTAAAAAAATATAATTTCACAAATTTTCAAGATCCTAACCTACATATTTTCAAAATAATCGTAAAAAAGCGATTTCAAATTTTAACTTTCAACACCCTGTATTTCCGAAACTATCAACTTTCGGATAAGGCATGTTTGCGCCAATGGTTTCGATTTTCCCATTGTTAATGAATCACCCTGTATTCAGCTGAAAAGCATCACCTTATTCTATGCAAAAATATGATAAAATTTAATTTATGACGTTTTTAGTTATTTGCAACTCAAATCTAACATTCTGCCCTGTCAATATACCGCTATAAATACATGTAAACGATATTCAATTGCAATTCACTTTCTACTGTTTTTGTTGTTTCTCGAACTTCTCTTTTCCTGAAACTATAGAGTAGTTGAGCTGCTAAATATTTGTCAAAAGTCTTTAATTATCATTTGATTCTAAAAACTATTATGTAGTTATATTTTAGTTGTGTTATATGTTATTTTTTTTGGAAACTTTTGTTGACATTATATTAGCTATACGTGAATAACGTGGCAGGTTATTAATTTATGGAGAACCAAAATGCAACTCTTGAAGAGCGGGGCGTATTTATGGTAACCGATATCCAGATAGCCGTCTTTTAGATACTGGTAGTGTTATTCCTCGTCTTGAACGAGAATCACAACAAATTCCTCTGCAGGGAGAAGACCAAGTACTAGATATTGTTGATTCTAATCTCGATATAATCATAGGCATTCCAATAAAACTGGTATGTTAAAAATAACAGGATGTAAACTACTTTAATAATAATTGGTGCGTCTCTATTAAATTCAACAAGTGCAAGAGTGGACAATAGCAGATTTTCATGGCAGACAACTTCTGTAGGCAGTTTTTAGATACAAATAGCAATATATTTTTTTTTGGCAATTCTCAATTTTACTTAACGATGTCTGGTTATATTTTTGCAAACAAGTAGTTTCCAATTTTTTAAATGTATCACAAAATCAAAGTAGGTTAAAAATATGAAGCCCGTATTTTTTTCGACTTTTTCATTTGATTATTTAAGCTCTAAACAAATAAAATATACTTCATTAAGTAGTAATTTTTAGTTCTCTATTGTAGTGGCAACATATTACGTCAGAATTTTTTGAGTGATTATAAATCAAAAATAACTCATAAATTTTTTTTATTCTTTGGGTATATTGCCACATGTAAATAAAGATTGTAGATTTTAGTAATTACTGGTATATGAATTAAAAAAGTTCATAAAATATTAATTAAGTTATTTTTTATCAAAACTTTATATTATATAAAATTGAAAGTCTTACCTGGCTGCTTTCACTCAGATGTGACGGCCTGGCATTGACAAAAATAAGAGTCACAACCAATAGGATGAAAACGTATTTGGAGAAAAATTGAGACAAGTCCTGCATCTTTATCGATTCTGCAACAAAAAGATGAGTAAAGAAATTGATATACAATAACATAGGGTCTAACTCAGGACTGATTTTTGTTATTATAACAAACAAAAAAACGAAAATTTTTTACTATATAGTTTGTGTCCTAAAATGATAGAACAAAATTCATATTTTTTTCCAGTTCACATTTTAAAAAATCGCTTTTTTGCAATATTTTCTATTTTTTTTGAGCCATGTTTGACAGACCTATAACATTACCGACACTTTTTTAATAAGACGCTCTATATTTTATAGTATAAATATACAGGGTGGTCCGTAAGTAATGGTCCATAGAGACATACTACATTTTTTACTTCAAAATATTGCGATTGGAGCCAACATGCCTTAATAAAATGTTGATAACAAAAAAGAGACAGGGTGTCAAAGTTGGAAATTAAAAATTGAATTTTCGTAATAATTATAATATTTTTGAGTGTATGAACGTGAAAATTTAGGGGTAGATGTTTCTGTATACGAGAAATCATAATTTGTTANAGTAGATTTCTTTGCTATATAGATAATGTTTATCGCAAATAATTTCAATAGAATTTAATTTTTTCAAATTGGCAGCGGGTTTTAGTCTCATAAGAAAAGCATAGGACCCCCCTGCGCTCCTCACTTCCCTCGGACCCCGATATACTTCCTTAATTAATTTCTCCTCAATTGTTTATCAGTTACAAACACAGACCTCGAAAATGTAGGAGTCTGTAATTTGTCACCTTTAGCTAGGTGCACCTCATGGTGCGAAGTTCTTTTGGAATTGAATAAGAAATTATTTTCTGTTTAAATATCTTTAATATAAGTATACTAACGGTCGACACTAGACAAAAATCAAAATGCCTGACGTAATATACGGTTAATGAAATGGTTTTTTCTTACCTGTAAATACACATCAGAAATTACTATTCATTCGGTTTCAGTATTTCAAATAATATAAACCTAAAATGATGGTACAAAATTCATATTTTTTTTCCACTTGATATTGTCACTTTTCTGCAATATTTTCTATTGCGTTTGACATTACCAACATTATATTTTATAGTATAAATTCAGCGATATAAGGTTTGCCTACTTTTTTGTCATAGTTGTCAAAAAATGGAGGAATTAAATGAAAACAATAATTTAGTACTACTTTTTATTTTATTACAGCAAATGTTCAAAGTGGCCCCCATTAATTAGACACAATTATGATAATCATAATTATAATACAAGATATGCTGATGATCTGATTGTTCTGAAATGCAGGATTGACATTGCTAAAAAAATAGTTTGGACTTAAAACTTAGTAAGTAGATTCGCTCAACACAAACTTAACGTAATGAATTTTAAACTTTTTAAAACATTTACCAAGCGTTACTTAACTAAAAATTGTTTTTATAGCGTTCAAGAGTATATCAATAAATTGACATTTAAATAAATTTTACATATTCACTTACTGTCTTCTTTTTATATTTTATTTGTGTTTGTGATACAACATGTACCTTTTGTATATAAAATTGTCAATAAACAATACAAAAACCATTGCACAATGCCCAATTCGGTGTTCAAAGTTATCAATTACGTTTTGTATAACATTTGGTGTTGTCTTTCGAACTTCTTCTCTGATACGATTTTTCCATCCTTCAATAGTGTCTAGTCTGTTCACATACATTTTGCTTTTAAAATAACCCCATACAAAATAATCTAGTGGGCTTGAGTCAGGAGCGCGTGTTGGGCTTTCAAGCGGCCCTCTTCTGCCTATTCATCCATTTGGGAAAACTTCATTAAGATAATTTCTTACATCGCGGCAAAAATGTGTTGGAACCAGACAACACCAGCAGGCATATCGTGCTCATTAGGGTTAGGAAAAATTAATTCCAGGGCTGGAATCGGCAGAAAACTCAAAAAAATCCAGATAGATGTTGCCTGTCAAAATACCCTCAAAGAAATAAGGTCCCAGTATACGATATCCTACCATTCTAGCCCAATAATAAAGAGTAGGTACGTTTTTTAAAGTTATCTACTATTTTTTGTGTACCTAAAATCATGTAATTTCTTGCAAGGGTAGCTGTGGAATTTTTAGCAAAACTTCAAAACAAACAAACTGTCAATTTATTGTCAGTCTCTTGGAGTGACAGTTTAATTTAAGTCACAATTTTTCCAATATATATGGACAGACGAGTCAAAATTTACAAGAGAAGATATTTTTAATAGACATAATACTCATTTGTGGTCATCTGAAAATCCTCGTTTTATACGGGAAAGAAACTTTCAAAATAAATTTATCGTAAATGTTTTTTGCTTAATTAAAGATACACAATCAGATCGATCAACAGCTTACTGAAATGTTTGAAGATAGATGGTTGAGACGCCTAGGACCGTGGAATTGGCCAGTGAGGTCTCTCGACCTCACTACATTGGTTTTTTATGTTTGGGGAATAATAAAACAAAAAGTTTATTTTACACCCGTTCCTTCAAAAGAGGATTTGATTGCTCCAATACGAAGAGCGATCCATGAATTACCTGCAGCTGAAATAGCAAAAGCGATGACTGATGGTGTAATCTCTAGAATCCACAAGTGCTTAGCTGTTAATGGGAGTCATATTGAACACTTATGACTTATACATACTATGTATGAAGTTGATTTTTTAGAATTCTTCTTAACTTTATTCTGCTCATTGGTAGAAAATTGGGATATGTCTCATTAAAAACTGTAAATGTTCTGCTTAGAATCTCATTGCAATGTCTGTGAATAAATAATAGCTATCCTCGCAAGAATGATTTACATGATTTTAGTTGATTACACAAAAATTAGTAGATAATTTAAAAACTAGAAGAAATATGTATAGGAAACCCTGATAGCGTTTGAAAGAGAATAAAATTGTGTATCAGAATATAGAAAAACACACAGGGTGTTCCATTTAAAAAAACCGACTTATAAAGGTTTGAAGTTAACTAAACTCGGCATTAAATTTCTAGCACCCTGTATGCAATTAAGCCACTTTGAAAGTATGGATGGGAAGCTTAGGGGTCTAGCTATCCCCCCTATAAATATTGTTGCTTTATCTTTCTTACTATAAAATACACATAGTTTGAAGCTAGTCATTGTTTCTCTCCATTTTTTTGAAAAAAATTAAATATCTACGGTTAATTAATTAATAAACGGTTAATTTTAGGAATAGGGAAACTTCATAAAAGTCCACCTAAAATAACACGTAGAATCCAAAATTGCAATAATATTTAGGGTGTTCCATTTAAAATAAGCAAGTTGATGGCGACTTCCGGTATAACCGGAAGTGGTACGCGGACGCCATTATTTTAGTTGAGAAGGGCATGCCCGAAAACCCGGTATCCCAAATTTTCAAAATTCAAATCAAAGTAGTCTCTGAAATAATTCTAATGGGCCGTCACCTGAGACACCCGTATACTTATACCTACTATAAAATGTAGAGCGTCCTATTTAAAAAAAATGTCGGTTATGTTATAGGTCTGTCAAACATGGCTCAAAAAATAGAAAATATTGCAGGAAAGTGACAATTTCTATTTACTAATTTACCTGTTTCAGAGATTTTTTAAAATATGAACCGGAAAAAAATATGAATTTTGTTTCATCATTTTGGGACACAGTGTATATTCTAAAGTCAGGCCGTTATAGGAATTTTTGCTGGTTACATATTTCTGTATTTAATAAGAAGTTAAAAATATTGAGAATGACACTTTTCAAGACGAAAAAGTTTTAGAAGCAAAAGAAGAAACACCGATGCGTTTTTATAAATGTTTTACACAAAAGTTCGCAAACAATTTTAAACAGTTTGAATGTTTATTAGCAGCTATTTTGTCTGTGGCAAAAGTATGTAGAATTAGACTAGGCTTTATTGATTGTTATTTATCCAAACTAAGAGTGATTGAAAATTGGATTAAAATCATATTTAAGTACACGATCCAGGGGTAAAAGAAACATTTCATGCGAGACTTTTTGCATATTGTGTGTGTAAAAATTCTTAACCACGTTTTAAAAACATTTTATGATTATAAAGTTCTGCAAAATTACTAATAAATCGAAAATGAAAACGACACACTTACATGTTTATTTAATATTTCGAGTAAATAATATTGATTGAGTAAATCTCATTTTGTTTATGATACTGTGACACTATTTTTTACTAGAATTCAGAAAGAAGTAATAATAGTAATAATATAATATAATAAATAATACTTAGTAATAATCATAAATTCTCGACAAATATATAAATATTGTAGAGTAGTTTCAAAATTTCACGAGCCACGAAATGCGCGAAAGGCGTGGCGTATCCGCGTAATTCTTCTAATAAGCACGTTGTGAAAACATTGACTCAGAATTAGACCACGTTCCTCATTGCAACCAGAAATGAACTAAGGCGCTCGGGCATCAATAAACTCAACTGGCGAACGTTCGTTATATATTTTTATTGCTTAAATTAAAATAATAAATAATAGGTAATTTTATTATGATTGTAATCGGCTCAAAGGCTTATTTACGCTACGAGAGCTCGAGATAGACTGTGAATAATAGATTTAATGTTTTTAGGATGTAGAATAATTTAGGCGACGGTCGGAATTATGTTTCTGCGCATATGAAGGTCAAAAAGATTTTGAAACAACTCTACTCCTGTTAGTTAAAACACTATTATTGGTTTTCAAGGCGACCGTCTTTTTAATTTTATTATCAAGGGTGTAAAATAACCCACTCGCATATTTTATTACATCAAATATATTTTCTTTCATATCATTTCTTACTGTGTACCAAAACTGTTGCCCAATGCGCCTATAAGATAATCTTCTGGTCTTGTTTATCCCAGAAACTGACGGCAGAATGGGAAAAACCTAATATTAGAACTGTTTATTGAATTTCCACGTTTGATACGCGGCATATCAATAACCTCCGTTTCTGGACATTCCCAGTGGATACGCGTCCCGCAGGGACATTATATGTGTGTGCGATTGCCTTTCACGTCCCCGGCTTTGCGAAT